TGACAGGGCTGGGATGGTGCTGGCAGGGCTGGGATGGTGCTGGCAGGGCTGGGATGATCCTGACAGGGCTGGGATGGTGCTGGCAGGGCTGGGATGATCCTGACAGGGCTAGGATGGTGCTGGCAGGGCTGGGATGGTGCTGGGAGGGCTGGGATGGTGCTGGCAGGGCTGGGATGGTGCTGGCATGAGGCTGGACCGATGTTCACAGGGCCAGGCCAATGCTGGCAGTGCTGGTCTGATGTTGGCACTGGACTGGAACGATGGTGGCACAGCCCAGAGCATCCTTCCCTGGTGGCCCCTTTCCCCGGGGTGATGTGTTTTGGGATGGTTCACCCAGCTCCCCACTGGAGCATGGGGAGGGCAGGAGTGCTGTGGCATCCCCACAGGACCTTTAAAACCATCAAGTCCAACCATCCACCAGCACCACTAAAGCACGTCCTCGAGTGCCACATCCTTTGAACACTTACAGGGACTCCACCACTGCCCTGGCCAGCCTGCTCTAATGCTTTACAACCCTTTCCATGAACAAATATTCCTACTATCCAATGTAAACCTCCCCTGCCAGGTGCTGGTGCAGCACAGGGACACGCCTGCGCCAGGCTGGGACAGGTATTTCCCACCTCAAAAATGAAGCTCCTGATTAGAAGCGATGCTCACTTGGGAGCGTGAGATAAGACCCCAAAGCGAGCATCTAAGTATGACTGATTAGCAACTAAACCCTCACTAATTGCCTTAAAAAGTCTGAGCTCAACAGCCGGGGAAGGGAAGAGGAAAAAAAAAGATTAAAATTTTCCTCGGGCTAAATATTTTCCCGGCGTGCTCAGACTCGATCTGGATGTTTCCAGTCATTATCTCCCTAATTAACACACACCAAAAAACCAAAACCAAATTTCCCCCACCTCATGGCTCAGGGAGGTTCAGTGGGATTAACCAAACCTCAGGATCAGCGAGTGCCCAGCGAGTGGCAGCTCAGGGTGGGAGCTGGGATAGGGAGAGATGAAGTTATTGTTGGTGAATGAAGTATAATAAGCCTTTAATTTTCTCCAGCTTTTGCTGGGAATGCCCTGGGACAGGTGAGGTCCTCCTGCCAGCCCCCACACTGCTGGGAAATCATGGAGGGGTGGGATTTTCTTTTAATTGCCATCACTTTATTTTCTGTAATTAACACAAAACATGCATTTTCACAGCCCCCAAAGGAACCCAAATAACCCCTTTTAAGCAAACTGATGCTCCAGAGCCCGTGACCGGGATGGGACCCAGCAGAGCTCGGGATGAAAACACCCATTTACCAGGACTGACTGTTCCAGAGCACCCTAAACTGGGCTGTGCTCCCTGTCCCAAGGGGTATCCCAATGTATAACCCCCCAAAACGCTGCTTTGGGGTCTCGGGCTTTTGGGGTTTGGGGTCACCTGGAGTGTTCACAGCCAGGTGCCCCCTCCTGCCCTTGGTGTGTCACTGGGCACAGCTGGAGGGGGAAAAACTGTGGATCAAAGGGTAAAATGAAACAAAATCACACAAATATCAAAGAAGGAGCCACCCCTGGGAGGCCAGGAAACGGGAGTGAGAATTCCAGGTGAAAGCAGGAGCAGGAGCAGCCGGGCACTGGCTCCAAGGAATAGCAGTAATTAGAGCTTCCGAGTGCCTCCAGGCCATTTGCTTTTCCCTTGCATAACATAATTTCTGTGGGGCTTGTCCTCTTTATGAGGAGCATTAATCTAACTGCTGGCGGGCTCTGGCTGCTGTGCCAGCGGCTGGAGCCATCCCGAGGAGGGTCAGGGGCAGGTCCCCTGCGTGGCATGTGGATAAAAAAAAATGGCAAACCCCAAAAGGGAAGGTCAGCTGGAGGCTACGGGGGAGGAAATTAATGATTTTCCAAACAACCAGGGAAGTTTGTGTCGGCCTGGAAACGTAATTCAATTTGTGTGTCGGAGCTGAGCCGCTCCCAGCCAAGCAAAATCCTCTCGTTAAAGGCAGAATTGTCATTAGTGTGATAATTGAATGAGGAGGGAGATGGCAGAGGGAATGCCTGGGCCATGGAGGGAGGGAAGAGAGGGTTTCCCTGGGCACCCACAGTGGTCTGGGGAGGGTGAAGGACCCTGTGAGTGCACGGGGTGGCTGGGGGTGCTCAGGGAGCTGGGATGGATCTGTCCTGCAGGATTGCATCCTGAATCCTCAGCACCAGGTGCTGCCTGCAACTGTCCACTCTCAGGTCTTTAATATCCCTGCCAAAACGGGACAGGATGGAATATTCCCTGCTGGATCATCTTCATCCTCACCACCAGGAGCTGCCTGGGGCCCTCCGGCCTCAGGTCTTTATTATCGCTGCTAAAATCCCACCTCCAGCCGGATTTCCAGGGAAATGTCCCATCTCTACTGAAACCATCCTGAGGGGTTTTGGCTCCGGATAATTTTCCTTCTCGTTGCTGCACGGGTGGACGCACAGGATCCCTCACCAGCGTCCTCCTTCCCTCCCTGCGGCGCCTGGAGCAGGGTTGGGAAAGGCACTGGCACCCTCCCGTGCCTGCATCCATGAACTGCAAGGCAGCGTGGAATCCCGGCGGGATCCCCCGCGGCACAGGCTGCTGGACAGAGCAGGAGTGGGAGGAACCTCTGCTGCCTCATCAGGGCAGCACCTCGCAGGAAACCACCCCAAAAATCCCTTCCTTCCACACACCTCTGTGCTCCAGCACTCACCTGGAGGTTACCAGTCCAGAGCAATCCTGGAATGGTTTGGGTTGGAAGGGACCTTAAAGCTCATCCAGTCCCACCCCCTGCCACGGGCAGGGACACCTTCCACTAGCCCAGGTTGCTCCAAGCCCCGTCCAACCTGGCCTTGGACACTTCCAGGGATCCAGGGGCAGCCACAGCTTCTCTGGGCAACCTGTGCCAGGGCCTCACCACCCTCCCAGGGAAGTGTTTCTCCCCAATATCCTAAAGATCCAAGAATCAATCGGTCAAAAAGCAGCTTGAACCCTCAGACTGGAGCCTGGTGAGCAATCAGAGATCACCCCGAGGTGAGGGCAGGGCAGGGGGATGTGGAGCTGGCTCCCGTGTTCCCGAGCAGACTTCACCCCCTCTCAGGAGGGAACTGCAGTCTGGCAAAGCCCAGCTCAAGAATCCAGGCTCCAGGAACCTGGTTTCCAGCTCTAATGGGGTGAAGAGCCCCTTGCAAGGCAGAGAGGGATCTCCCAGGCAGATTTGTGGCGGAAAATTCTGGTGAGATGCTGCTAAAGCTCAGTTCCCTCTGCCCATATGATCCTGCCAGCCCAGGAGGAGCAAAGAACACAGTGTGAAACGAGCTAAAACCAGCTTCATTTGGGCAAAAGTGCTAAGAGGAGTGAAAAGGAAACATTCCCCAGTAAAGCTTTGACCCTGGGAAGGCCCAGAGACCTCCAATGCATCAGCATCCCCCTTTCCCATGGCAAACCCTGGGGTAACGGGAACAAATTCAGGGTAAAGCCACCACACCCCACACCCCCTCAGCCTCCCCATCCCTGCAACCCCCGAGCAGATGCACCAGGATGCCACTCCCAGGGTGTTTAACACTCCAACACAGTGAATCAGTGCTTTATTTTCAGCATGGAAAGAGGTACGAGACCAGCAGTGAGCTCCAGGTAATTTAACTGGTGTGTCAAACTCTTACTGGTGCCCTCAGAGCCGTGGGATTGAGGCAAAACACACGGAGAGAAACCTCCCCAGGCGTGTCCCTGAGTGCAGCTGCACCGGCTCAGAGCTTCTCCCATCTTCAAAAATCCTTGTGCATTGATTCCAGAGGAGGATTTGGTTTCTGGGACAGGGAGGGAAGGCCACGAATGAGGTGCTGAGTTAAGGAGAGCTCAGTGTGACAGCCCTTGGGAGCACTGAGGCAGCGCAGACGTGGTTCCTGAAGCCTGAGCTGTGCCAAGAGAGCCCAACCCCAGCCTCCCTCCCACCAGGGCACAGCCAGGAGGAACCTGAGTGCCACTGGAGTTTATTGCACAGTGATAAATCTGGTGTAAGGCCAAGGCAGAACCGAGGACACGGATCTAGAGCCGTCTCTACTGTGTGCAAGGTGGGCAGAGGGGGAAAACACCTGGATGCTGCCCAGTGGGATCACAAAACATCGCTGCCCCAGCACCCTGGGAGGGTTTATATAGGGCAATTCATACCATGATCCCGGCCCAGAATAGCACCAGGGATTAACCCAGCCTCTGACCCCGGCTAATCCAGCGTGACTCCCTGGCAGTGCCAGCACAGCAACTCTGGATTGCATCAGTGCCTGGCTCTGCTCTGCACAGTGTCCTGGCTCGGCTGGAGTCAGCAGCAAACCCTCCCCAGAGCTCAAGCAGAGGCAGGAGTGCAGGCACAGCCACTCCTTGGATGGGCAAAACCCAAAGGACTCTGCTCCTGGCAGAGGGGAGGATGCTGGGGAGCACAGACAGGTCTGGAGGGGGGGAGGGAGGGGAAAATGAAGAGCTGTGGGGTTTGCATCATCCCAATTCCTGTGAAACACCCTCAGGTCATACAACCCTTCACCCAGCAGCACAGAGCTTCTGCAACCCCATTTTCCCCTCACCTCCCCCAGGGGCCTCCCGGGATCCCAAGTGGGAACAGCCCCAAGGGGGAACTGGACAGGGAAACCAGGAGGGGACCAGACCAGAGAAACCAGGAGGGAACCAGACCAGGGAAACCAGGAGGGAACCAGACCAGGGAAACCAGGAGGGAACCAGACCAGGGAAACCAGGAGGGAACCAGACCAGGAAAACCAGGAGGGAACCAGACCAGGAAAACCAGGAGGGAACCAGACCAGGGAGACCAGGGGGAAACCGTGACAGGGAAATGAGGGGTGAACCGTGACAACCAGCGGGGAACTGAGTCAGGGAAACCAGGAGCTTCCTTAGGGTTCCTCTTGCCACAGTGCCCCTTGCTGGGATGGTGTGAAGGCAGGATCAGCCCAGGACAGAGTGCCAGGGGGAGCAGCTCGCTTACTTCTCCTTCAGGTCGTTGTCAGCTTTACCTAAGAGAGGGGGAGGAACAATCAGGGCTCGTGTTTCTGCCTCCAGAACCACCAGCCCTTTTTACAGGGGTGTTTTGCTGCACAGCATCTCACAACCATCCCAGTCCAACAAGCAGCACAGCAGCTCGTGCCCAGGGTGCTGCTCAAAATTTGGCCTCCTGAGGCCTTTTTCTGCCTTGGAGGAAGCAAAAAGCACAATCACCAAGGGGAAGAAGGCCTGCCCTGCCCTTCCCACAGCCCTGCTCCCCACCCACAGGGCTGCAATATTCACAACTCCCACCCAACTTCCTTCCAGTACCTAAAAGGTCTACAAGAGGCTGCAGAGGGACTTCCCACAAGGGCACGGAGCGGCAGGACATGAGGAAATGGGTTCAAACTGACAGAGGGGAAATTTAGACTGGATATTACGAAGAAATCCTTCCCTGTGAGGGTGGGGAGGCCCTGGCACAGGTTGCCCAGAGAAGCTGTGGCTGCCCCTGGATCCCTGGAAGTGTCCAAGGCCAGGTTGGACAGGGCTTGGAGCAACCTGGGCTAGTGGAAGGTGTCCCTGCCCATGGCAGGGGGTTGGAATGAGATGAACTTTCAGCTCCTTTGCAATCCTCACCATTCCAGGATTCTATAACTTCCCTAAGAAGCAACAGCAAACCCCTCCAGCCCCACCACAGGAGCTCCCTGCCCTCACTTTGCTCCCCCAGTAGAAACCCCCCAACATTTAGCTGCCCCTCGGACCCACAGAGACCCGTGGTCACATCCAGGAGCTCCAGTCACACCCAGCTCCTCCAGGGGGAGGCCGGGGAGCCTCCAGCTGAGCAGCCTGACATTGATTCAGGGCTCCCAAGCAGCTCCTTGGCTTATCAGCACAGCCAGAGCCGCCCTGCCCAAAGCAGCGCAGTGCACACCCTGCCCGGGCTATCAGCAGCTCCCCAAAAATCACTGCACGGGCTGGAGCAGCTGCCAAGCCACCGCTGGTACCTTTCGGGACGAACTTCAGCGAGCTGCTGAATATTCAGAAGCGGGACTGGCCCCGCTTGGGCCCATCGTTGAGGAATTCGTGGCCCAGCCCGTTGCCGCACTTGCCACAAGTGACCTGGAAGAGCAAGGAGAGGGTTGGCAGCAGCCGGGCTCTCTCAGCCCGGGCTCAGGGGAGAGAACGAGCCCGCGGGTGTTTTGTCGCCGCATCCCGGGGGTTTGGGGACGGGCACCTTGAGAGCCCCCGGGCGCTCCTCCCGCTTGGCCACGCTGTCCCCGCGCAGGGTCTCGGTGAAGGCCGGCCAGGGCGAGGAGTGCTCGTACTTGGCCCGGCTGGAGAACAGCTCATGGCCACACTTGGCACACACGTAGATGCCTGGGGAGGGGGGGGTAAGGACAGGAGAGTGGTCAGAGCGGGGGACAGCGGGGGTGACACGTGAGCGCGGTGACACGGGACACCCGCGTGGGACTTTGCCCGCGTGGGTCGGTGCCAGCGGCTGCTGCGGCCGGAACCCCAGAGACCCCCCCAGGACAAGGCAGGGGGCAGAACCGCTTTCCCCATGGAGGTCCCTGCAGGACAGGATCCCCCCAGAAAGCCCCTACAGGGATCGACCCCACTGCCAGCCCCTATAGGGACCCCCCCTCCCCATGGGAGGGATCCCCCAGCAATGACCCCAGAGCCGGGACCCCCAGCGCGGTCCGCACGACTGGAGGATGCTCCGCTAAAGGACGCCCCCATCCCCAACCCCCCCTCCCAAAAACCTTCACCCCGGGGGGCTCCGCCTCCCCCAGCGACACCCCCCGCCCTCCCCGCGAGGAGGGATCCCCCCGACCCCATCCCCGGGGGGCCGCTCACCCGGCTGGAAGTGGTCCTTGAACACCTCTCCCCCCAGGAAGGAGCAGAAGGACATGGCTGCGCCCGCTCCCCCGGCCCGTTCCGCCCGCCCGGCCGCGCCCCTTCCGCCGGGCCCCGCCCCGGGCCCGCCCCGACCCCGCGGGAGGCGCTGGGGCCGCCGGTACCGGGGGGTCCTGCCGCCGGGGGGGGCTCCTCTCGCATCCCCCCACCTCGGGGACCCCCGGCCCGGGCCCCGCAGCCCCCGCTGGTGCGGGGGGGACGCGCAGGGGGAGCCCCGGGGGCGCGGGCGGGGGGCGCGGGGCGGGGCGGGGGGCGCGGGGCGGAGCGCGGAGCCGGCACACGGTGCTGCGGATGCTCCGGCCCCGCCGGCGGGAGCGGGGCGGGCGCCAGCCTGGCACCGGGCATCCGCACCGGGCACCGAGCATCCGCACCGGGTACCAGGCATCCGCACCGGGCACCCGCACCCCGCTTTGGGCACCCGCACCCGGCAGCGGCACCGGCTCTTCACTCCCGGTACCGGCACCCGCACCGGCTCCAGCTCCGGCCCTGCTATCCCGGCACCGACATCAGTCCTTGGATCCCGGCACCAGGACCGGCCGGCCTCCATCAGCGCCGGCACCGTCACTGTCGCTGGCACCGGCACCGGCTCTTCTTCCCCGGCACAAGGTCCGGTCCCCCCCCGGCAGCGGGATTGACTCCCCCCCCCCCCGTTATCCTCCCCTGGCACTGGGACCGGTCCGACTCCCCGGCATTGCTCGTCCTTCTCCATCACCGGGACCGACCGACCCTCCCCCGGCGCCCCCCGGGCTCCCCCTCCTGCCGCAGGTACCGGCGCTGCGGGGCCGGGGCGGGCGGCGGGGCCGGGGCAGACCCAGTTTCCCCAGCAGGATGATGGGTTGGCGGTGGTCGGGTCTGGGGGTCCCCCCAGGCACCCCCGAGGCTCCGGGGGTGGGTGCTGGCACAGGCTCAGCGGGGACCCCCAGTCCCGCCACGCCGGGAGCGCAGAGCCGGGGTGACCCGTGGGGACCCTCCCGCAGGGGGATGCGGGGACTGACCGAGGCCCCTGCGGGCGCGGGGGGTCCCGGAGAGGCGGAGGCAGCAGCCCGGCGTGTGGCAAGGTGAGGGCTTTGAAGGTGAACCTTGGCAGGTTCTGGAGAGGATGAGCTGCTGCAGCTCCTTTCTCCTTCCAAAAACCGGCACTACAAGTCCCTTCTTCCCTAGTTTATCCAAGGACCCTCGGATGAGTCCCCGGGCTTGGGCTCTCATGGAAATGGCACCTTCTTGGCGCAAGAGGAAAAATTTTGGCGCCCTTCGGGCACGAGCCGAGGTCTGTCCCTGCTGCCCTGCGGCCGCAGCGATGCGCTCGGACGGATCCCCGTTCCCTGATGCCCACGGACGTGTCCCTGGGCCGGGAGCTCCCCCGGGAGCTGCGGGACCCCCGCGAGGGGCCGGCGCCGGCGGGGCTCCTGCCCGCTGGGTGCTGCCGCTTTGAATTAGGTCAGGCTTCATCTCGGACCGGCTGAGCTCCCGCTCCAGCCCCGGGGATTGATGACTCGTGGCAGGAGCCCGGGCAGGGGGAGGAAGGGGCTCCGCCGCTGCCCCGTGGGGCACAGGGAGCCGGGAATGCGCCGTGCAGTGGCACGGAGAGAGGGTGATGCGATGTGCTGAAAGCACCTCCCATAAGATCCACCGAGATCAGAGGAGTAGGATGTCAGGAAAAGCTCCAAATAGACTCCAGGGCCCTGCACACCTTCGGGGCGTGGATTTCCAGCTGGTGGAAGGAGCCGCAGCAGCCACCTGGCCCTGGGTCTGAGGAGCATCGTCCATCCAATGTCTGCTGCTCACCCAAATTCCTGTGGAGAAGCTCTGCCGGTACAATGTGATGGATGTGGGAACTGGCTGGATCCTTCCCCAGGGCTGGGAGTTCCCATGAGGGACGTGAAGGTCTCGGGAACTATGAGCAGAGGATGGGAATGGCTGAGACATGGGAGTGAAGCAAAGTCCGTGGAGAGGCAGGGCCAGGCTCAAGCTCTGGGACACACAGTGGTGGAGAGGCTTTGGGAGTGGGTCCTGGGGCTGGCTTGGTCCCAGAATCCCACTGGAGCCATTCCAGCGGTGCCAAAGCCCGCCTGGCTCCTCACTCCCCCAGCAGCATGAAATCCACTCCAGTATCCACCAGTAAAACCCCTGAGAAAGAGCAACGTAATGTGGAAGTGGGAGGCGAGGACAGAGCTGGGATCCTGCACTGCCTGAGCCATTGCCTGAAGTGACATCCCGAGGCTGCAGTGAGAGCCCGGCACTCCTTGATCTCGGGATAACACGGAGCACTCCGGGGGCAGTGTCACAGCTGGGTTCTGTGCTCGTGCTTTGTGGAGATAATTGGAGAGGGATTTCCAGCTCCTTCGTCTGGGCGAGGAAAGCCCAGCAGAGCAGTGCTACCACCACCTAATTAACCTGAGGGCTGAGGGAAGTTAATGTTTCAATTAACTCTCCCTGATTTGACAAAATGCAAATGCCAGCCAGGCAGTGCCCGCTTGGGAGCGAGTTACAGGGAGCATCCCCCCGTGCCATGCTGGGCAAGCTCCTGCTCCTTGGGCACGGGAAGGGAGTATTCCAGGGGCAGACAGTCCGAGACACCAGCCCAAGCTGGGCTGCAGCTTTTCTCTGTCAAATCCAAGCCCTGAATGTGAACCAGATCTGGGAGCAAGGAGCAGAAATTTGGAGCTGGAATCCAGTGGAGACACTTGCTGATGGTTGTGGCTTTGGTGTTTCCAACTGCAGCGAGGGGGGACACAGTCACTGGGGGTCTTGTGTCCCTGCCCTGCAGAGAAACCCTGGACTGAGTGTCCCAAGAACTGCTTCTCAATGCAACATCCAACACAGCACTGATTCCTTCCAGGTACCACCAGGGCTGGGGGGACACCCCCTGAGAGCTGTTTGCTGGAGCCTCCAAAGCCACCATCATCCCCCTCACCCCACCACCCAGCTGAGCCCACCCAGCTGCACCCAGCACTTGACAAAAGCACTTGCCAGGACCCTCCTATCCAATTTATCCTGTAAAGAGCAAAAAGATTCCCCCTATCCTCCTGTGCTGGCACAGGCCGGGGATGAGCTCCGGGCTGGGAGGTGGGTTTGTGCTGGGGCACCTCTGCACTCAGCATTTGCCCTGTGAAGCCTCAGCCAGCAGCAAACCCTCCCCCAGGGCTGCACAGCGTGGACCCTCCATCTCGGGGTGCTGGTGGTCCATCCATGGCACCCAGTGGGGTCCATCCCCAGCACCCCCCTCCCCAGAGGTGGCTGTTGCAGCAGCGTGGCCCCTGCGGTACTCGCCGTCCCTGCCAGAGGAGAATTCCCATACAAACCCAGGCTATTATTATCTCTGTCTTCCACCGTGCTAATGGTCTCTCAGGAAACAGACTTCTTCTTTTTATTTTTTTCTCTCTCTTTTTTTTTTTTTTTTTAGCTTTTAAAACCCACGAGTAGGGGAGCAGTGGGAGCAGAAAGACGGGAACGGCAGAGGGGAGCTCCAAGCCCAGAGCAGGGGAGATGGTGTCCCCCTGACCCAGCAGGGACAGGGAGCAGTGGCCAGGCAGGACCCGCCAAGGACCAGCCCCGGGGCGTTCTGGTAGGAACAGCCAAGGGTGATGGGCAGAACTGGGGATACTGGGGGTGGCTGTGGCACTGGGGCCACTGGGAAACCTGCATGATAAGGGACAAGGGGTGTCCTGGCTTCTGTGCTTGGGTGGGAGGTGAACAATGCCCTGTAGGATTAGAGAAGGGATCCCTTGAAATCATAGAATCATGAAATGGTTTGGGTTGGAAGTGACCTTAAAGGCCATCCAGTTCAAACCCTCCCATGGGCAGAGACTTTCCACTAGACTAACTCCCCTCTCAGGCCCAGCTCCATCACTCATTTTCCTCTGCTCTCTCCTTGTTTGGCTGCTTCGGTGCTTTGCCGGGTGCCCTGGACTGCTCTGTCTGCTGGGGGTGCTGGTGGTGCCAGTGCTGCCACAGCCCTGCCCACAGGTTGGATGGCACCAGCCCCCCAGCTGGGGTCTCTGCCGGGTGCTGGGACCATGGGGGCAATCACCCATGGATGATCTGGGGTTAACAAGTGGCTCCTGTAAATCAGAAGCAAAGCGAGAGCCGAGGAACATGAGATTATATAAAGGGGGCTGGAGGCAGCTGCGGCACAGCCTGTAATTAATTCCTGGCACTGAGGAGCTTTGAAGATCCAGGGCGGCGCGGTGCCGGGTGTGAGGCAGCCCCAGGGTTCCTGGGATGGCATCCCTGCTCCTGCAGCAGGGATGCCACCAGGGGAAGAGGCTGAGCACCCCTCGGACCTGCTGGGAGCTGGCTCTGCAGAGCCCAACCTGCAGGTCCATCCTCCTTCCCAGAATCACGGAGGGGCACAGCTTGGGAGTGGGGCAGCCCTTGGCTTTTGCAGGAGCGCAGCAGTGAGGGATCATGGAGGCTGCTGGGGACAGGACAGGACTGTGCCATGGCCAAGGACACCCTCAAGGCTACAGAAACTTTGTTAGGGAAACTTTTGTGCCCCTCCAGTAAAACCAGGGATTCCCGACCTGCAGAGCATCCCCACACTGCACTGGGGCCAGAGCTCAGACTGGCTCCATTTCGGGTTTGTGCAGTGCATGAAGAGGGAGCCAAACCACTGTTGGTTATGCCAGAAACCTTCAGAGGAGTCAGAGAGTCCTGCCTGCTGGCCTGGCATCTCTCCTCCCAGCCCCAGCTCTTGCACTGGGACCAACAGAGTGTCCTGGTGCAGGAAAATCCCCCTCGCTGGGCTGCAGACCTGGCTGGTGGTTTCGGGTTCTCAGAAGTCTCCTTGCTAATTGCCTGCCTGAGGTTTATCCTCCTTAGACAAGGGGTTCCCCACACCCCATCACTGAGCTCATCTTACCACGGCGCCTCCTCCATCCCATCCCTGCTGGGCAGCCCAGGGAGAGCCCCAAGCTGTGTGCAAGCCCCAAGTGCATCCCGAGATAGGCTGGAAGGCGCCCAGCCCGTAGCAGCGGGTTCCCCGGCGTCAGCCCGCTCCTGCTCGGGGCTCGTGGCGATGCTGGTGGGGAAGGCAGGGCTGG